CAGATCATAATGAAATCAGATTAAAATGAAACTGGGGACCTTTCTTGCTCATCTTTAAAGCTTATAAAACCCACTTATACTTTTTTATTAATAAAACTCACTCTAAACCCTAACTCTAACACTAACTTTAACCCTAAAAAATGTCCCCCAAAAAATTTTAAATTTTTCTAAAAAAATAGAAAAATTTCATTTTAATCTAATTTCATTTTAATTTGCCACATTTATTATCTATATTATATTTTTCTTTTTTAGAATTTTTTTATTTTCTTTACTTTAAATTGTTTTGTTAATATTTCTTAGTATTACAATGCTATCTGTATATATTTTTATATTCTTTTCTTTTGATATTATTAGAATTGCTAGCTATATCACTACTAATTCTGCTATTATTACTAATAGCTATACTTCAAGTTTTAATGCAGTTTTTTCCTTTAGTTAGTCTCTTTTATATTTTATTTGCACCCAACTAATATCTATTTTTCCTGTATTGTTTTCTTTTTTTTTTTATATAATGCTTTATCTATATAAAAAATATACTTTTTTTTGTTTTTTTTTTGTTTCTTACTAAAATTTCTGTTAAATAGTTTATTATTGTATTATTTAATTTTTGTTTTTTTAATTAACTCTATCTCTAGTATTTTTGTTTGATTTAGTCTTATTAATTTCTCTTTATTTTTTTTTTTATTTTTCTATCATTCTATTTCTAGTATCTGTTTTAATATTATATTAACCTTATTGTTGCTTTTTTCTATTAGTAATTCTGGTATCACTTTTATATTATAGTTTTGTTTTATCTATTTTTTGTATTTGTTATTTGTTTGTTTTGATTTGATTTCATAATTTTTGCATTTACTGAAGACCCCACTTGGTGGAATTAGGTTAGGATCAGAGGGTTTAAATAGGTAACTTCCTAGTTGAGTTGCAGGTAAGACAGCTAGTGTGGAACCTAGAGCGGACTACTTAATTAGACAATCAAAAAGTTATATGAGTAGCTAGTCATACCTTCATTAATAACCAGAGGGTTTAAATAGGTAATCTCCTAGTTAGGTTACAGGTATGGCAGCTAGTGTAGAACCCTGGGCGGACTACTTAAATTAGATAACCAAAAGTTGTACGTGTGGCTAGTTGTACTCTTATTGTAACTGAAACTTAACTTCTAATAAAAAGTTATGGCCAAAGAGGTCACCTTAATACCGAAAAAAAAAAAAAATTTTTGCATTTACTTATTTCTGTAAATTTTTTTTTTTTTTTTGTATATTAACCAATATTCAGCTAATATCTTTTTTTTTTTCTTAGTTATTTTACTAAATTACTAGTTGTGTTTTAGTTTATATTTAATTCATTCATTCTTTCTTTGATTTTTAATATTTTTTTTATTTAATCTTTAATATCTATATATTATAACTATTTATCTTGTAATGATTGTATATTACTTTACTTGTTTGTATTATTTCTGTATATTTTTTCTTGCTTATTGTTACTTTTACAATTCTTTACTAAATTTTTTTACTTATTAGTTTGTCATTTAGTAGAATATACACTTCTATTAGTACTAATTTTAATTGTCTAAAATATATTTACACTTTTATCATATATTTACTAATTTTTTTAACTACTTCTATATGTTTTTTTTATTTTTTATCTATTAGTATTCCTATACCTAATCTTTTCTTCTTATCTAATACTACACTAGTTTAGTATCCTTTGTATTATATATTTTGACTATACAATAGAAATTTTTCTTCTTTTTCTGTAATATTTGTTTCTGTTATTTTCAAAATTACTATTTTTCTCTTTCTATTTAACTAAACAGGCTTTTTAGTTTTTATTTTTAATTTTAAGTTTATTAATATTGTAATATATTCTTATTTTATTTTATTTTTTTTTCACTTTTTATAAGATTTTTTTTTTTTTTTCAAAGTTTCTTTTTTTTGTTTTGTAAAAAATCTCTAATCTCCTTGTTCATACTTATGAATTTAAATAAAGCATCCTTAGAAGTAATCTACAAGGCCTTCTTTTATGTCAAATTGCATTTTTTCTAGGCTATCTAGTTTGTTTAAAATTTAGTCTAAGATATTTTTTACATGTATATATAGTCTTTAGTTAAAGTTGTATATCTGATTGTTTTTTTTTTAATTTTTTTTATTACTTTTTTTGTGTAGTATTTTTGTCTTTTAACTATTCTTTTATATTCTAACTGATTTGTTCTATTTTTATATCTTTTCTATTTAGAATTTTTTGTTTTGTGCTTTTGAACTTTGATACTTTTTGTTTTTTAATTCTTGTCTTTAATCTTTTTTGCTTTTATCTTTTGACTCTTTTTTTTCTCTCTTTTTATCTTTTTTTTTAAGATTTTTCACAGTATACTTGATAATTGTTGTACTAAATAAGAACCCTTACAGCAAAAGGTGGCAATGTGTCAAAAAATTTTTTTTCTTAAAAATGCAATTTCTTGAAGAATTAGAGTAATAAACATATATAATTTTTATAAAATTACAAAATCAAAAATTTTGACTCATTGCTATCTTTTGTTGTAGTTGTCCCCAAATTAGAGTTGTCTAGACTTTTTCTGCTACCTAAATGCTTGCAAAGGTAATTATTGCAAATTTTTTCTGTTTACTATTTCTGTTACTTGGAATATACACTTCTTTTGCTTCTCTATTTTTAAAATATTGTAATAAAGTACTTTTGATATCTCTTTTGAGATATTTAATAATTTAGTTATAAACTGCTCTTGCTTGTTTCTTTGGCAATAGACCTTATTTCTTTTAGTTAAATTTACTAGTTTGTTATTGCCAAATGATAGTATTCAAAATATGTTTTTTTCTTTGTTTAAACTTATTTCTATTACTACTAATGCCTTGTATAGTGATCTTTTTACTTGTATTATACTTATATCTTTAAAGTTTTTATATATATACTTGATTTCTTTTTTATTAATATTTGGTAACTGATTCTATATTATTAAACATCTTTGCTTGCTCTGTTCAATTTCTTCTTTTACTTGTTCTAAGTTTTCTTCTAAATAGTTTTTTTTGACAAGAACTTCTTTTTTTTCTATTTTTTGTTGGTTTGCTTCTTTATTTGTTCTATTTAGTTTTCTTTTGTATTCTTTTCTATTTATTTTTATATGCTCTGTCTTATTTGGTATTATTTTAAATCTTTCTTTATACTTTTGATCTAGATAGTCTATTGCTTTTTTTTTTCTTTTTTATAGTCAAATTGTATTTCTATTTAGTTGTTGTCTTTTATAAATAATTCTTTTATGTTTACAATATATTTGTTTATATTTAATACCTATTTGATTATACTAATTCTTTTTTTTTTGTTTTATCTAAAATATTATATAATAAAATTTTTGTACTAGTTGGTATTTTATCTTTGTATAATCTATTTTCTGATACTCACATATTTTGTTCTAGTAGTATCTTCAATATTTCTCTCTGTATATATTATTCTTCTTTGATTTTGTATTTTTTTTTTTTTCTTCTAGTATTGAATTTTGTCTTGATACTTTCTTATTTATTTCTACCTTTTCTACTTTTGTATTTAAGTTGTTTTTCTTAGACTTTTTTTTTTTATTAAGTCTTCTATATCAGTTAAGGGACATGTCCTATTTGATGATTTTCATTAAGTAAATTTTTGTGTAATATAAATCATCATGACTTTCTTTAAAGAATAATTTAACAACAAAGTTCTAATTAATATTTATATTTTAAATAGGCTTACTCTTTGAGTTCTATGCTTTCTTTCTATATAAAAAAAATATACCTTTATTTTAACTTATATAAAATAAAATCAGTCAAGAAAATAACAATTTTTTTACTTCAAAGTTTAAGATTTTCATCTAAATACTGCTTATACGGGTCTAATTTTTTTTGTTATAGGCACAAATAAGAAGCGTTACAAGTTTAATTATTGAAGCAAAGACACTTTACTTATAGCATCTGGATGATTACTAGAAGGTGCTTTTTTATAAGGTAGATCCAGAATTAATGTAAAGTTGATCATAGCTTTTTTTATTTTTAATTTTTGTTTTATGGCTTTTTATTAAGGTTAAAAGAAAATTCTTTATTAAAAACAACAAACAAAGGGTCTAAAGCTAATAAAAAATTTCACTTTTAAATCTTTATTTTTAGATTCTATAAAGATGAACGAATTTTAGATCGATGTGAAAGTTTGTTGAACTTTTGGTTGAACATTAGGATTTCGGTAAAATTATACTTTAATTATGCTTTTTTATTTATAAATAGATACTAACATCACTTTATTTAAGCATTTTGCGTTTATTATTATTATAGTAATGTCTAACTCTTTCATCATCCCAATCTGAAAAGACTTTTTCAAGTTTTAGCAAGACATTTGCAATTTTAGCTTCAGTTAATTGCTCTTCACATACAAACAACTGAGAAAGTATATCCCTTTCTTCTTGTGTAGTAATA